GAAGCAGGAGGAGGAGCCGAGCGGTGCTGGCACCAAGGCCTGATCATGGACGAGGAATACGATGTGATCGTTCTGGGGACTGGTCTCACCGTAAGTGCGGCCCAGGCGCCCGTGGTCCCTCATCATGCATCCCGCAGCCCCAGCGATGATGCAGCCCTGGCCGCTGGGCCCCATTCTCCCGTTATTGCCATCCTCCGTTCGGGCTCCTTAAGAGCCAGTGCCCTGCCCATCCTGTCCTCTCGCCTCTGCGGTGTCTGCTGTCCTTCATCACTATGCCTTGTCTCCCCAGAAGGTGGCCTCTCCTCCCTGCCCCCTCCCTTCCCAGGACCCGACCCCGGCTCCCTCCAGTCCTCCCTGCCTCGGCCTGCTGCACCGGAAAACTCACCCCTCCTCGATCTGGTGCCCCTGCCCCTGCCCATACAGTCCCAACCCTTCGCCTGCACCCATCGTCTGCCCAGCATCCCCTCCCATCTCCTGGGATGAAGGAGTAGGGACGAAGTCCGAGGCCATGGGGTCCGAGGGCTTTGCCAGGCCTGGCTCACAGCCTGCGTCCCTGGCTTCTTTTGGAGATTGAGGACTCAGGGAATGTTCCAGAAGCAGCAGCAGTGGGATCAATGACCACATTCCCGCTACCCCACCCCGGTTTCCCATGGAGATCTGAGACTGAGCGCTGTCTGCAGCCTTTGTCCTCGGGCTGGTAACCCAGACTGGAGTGGGTCTCTTATCTTGTCCCTTCCTCAAAGCCCATCACCCATTCCCTCTGAGGCTCACCTCCCTCCACCCAGGCCAGACATGCACAGTCCAGACACCCCTCCTTCCAGGGGACGTGGCTCCTTGGAAGGAAGAACAGCCCAGGGGAGGCCTGCAATTTCAAGGGTTGTATTCATCTGCGTATCCCAGTTGGGTGCCCTTTGAGGTTGAGCTGGGCTCTTGGTGGCTCATTGTGTCTCATCTGCATTCTTGTATACTGTGCATATAGATGACTTTTTTGACACGTTGATGCCCTAAGACTTCGTGTGTCTGCTGGCCACTGCCCCCACCCCCAGGCCTCTGTTATTTCTCTCTTGCATCACCTCTTTGCTGAGCAAGGTTAGCCCTGAGACTATGGCCAAATCAAGCTCTCACCCCCAGTTGTAGTTCCTGCAGCAAGCAGGAAGTGGAAGGAGCTGTCCATTGTGGCAGCTTTGGGGCAGAGAGCCTATCAAGGATGCAGGAGGACTGGCAAGTGGAAGCTCAGCAGCCAACGGTGCCTCTCCCCCAGGAATGCATCCTGTCGGGCATTATGTCTGTGAATGGGAAGAAAGTGCTGCACATGGACCGGAACCCTTACTATGGGGGCGAGAGCTCGTCCATCACACCCCTGGAGGAGGTGAGGCTGCCCTGACTCCCAAGCATGGGCACGCCTAGGTTTTCTGTGTGAGCGTAGAAGGAGAATCTGTGAGATTTTTCTCTTTCTCCTTCCCGATTACAGCTGTACAAGCGTTTTCATTTGCTGGAGGGCCCCCCTGAATCAATGGGCCGGGGCCGAGACTGGAATGTTGACTTGATCCCCAAATTCCTCATGGCCAATGGTGAGGGAGATGAAGGGGCTTCTGTGGAAGAAGGTGGTGGGGGACCCAGGAGGGCTGGGCTCCAGGGGACGGCCAGCCTGGCCAGTGCCTCTGGCTGGAGCCCTGCTGACGTTGCCATCCCTACAGGGCAGCTGGTAAAGATGCTGTTGTACACGGAAGTGACCCGCTACTTAGACTTCAAGGTGGTAGAAGGCAGCTTTGTTTACAAAGGGGGCAAGATCTACAAGGTGCCCTCCACGGAGACTGAAGCCTTGGCTTCAAGTGAGTGTAGGGGTTGGGGAGGCAGCTGTCCACGGCAGGGCCCCCCTTTGCTCATGGTTCCCTTCCCCAGGTGGTACCAGAGGCCCGCTGCTCTGTGTTCTCTGTTGTCCCTTACTGTCCTTTATAGCAAGTGGGCCGCACAGAAGCACTCGTGTAGTGGGGCCATGGAGGGGAACTGGAGTTTGCAGATTTCAGTCTTTGACAAGGACTCCACTCAATCCCAAAACATCCGGAGGCAGTGGAATTGGGAGTGCCCTGACCCGTCTATGCCCCTCTTCACACTGAGAGTGGAGAAGCGTAGAGGGGTTGACCCTAGGTTATATGCCAGCTCAGCCTCTCCCAGCAGGCAGGGGACTCGTGTGCTCCCACATGCACAGGGTCTCCTCACACCCTCTCCAGATCTCATGGGGATGTTCGAGAAACGGCGCTTCCGCAAGTTCCTGGTGTTTGTGGCAAACTTTGATGAGAATGACCCCAAGTCCTTCGAGGGTGTGGATCCCCAGACTACCAGTATGCGTGATGTCTACCGGAAGTTTGACCTCGGCCAAGATGTCATCGACTTCACTGGCCATGCCCTGGCCCTATACCGCACTGATGAGTGAGGGGAAGCTGTTGTGATTGGTGCCCCCTTGCCTGGCTGCACCTGTCTTCCCTCCACCTTCCTGCTGTTCCCTCTGCCCCGTCTGCATGTCCCTTGTACCCAGACTCGCCTGTCTCCTTTGTATCCCTGTCTACATCCTACATTTGACCTGTCTTACCAGGCCCAGAGCCTGGGTCGGGTTGAGCAGGGTGCTTCTGTTGAGTGTCTTCCCTCGCTCCTCTCCCCAGCTACCTAGACCAGCCCTGTCTTGAGACCATCAACCGCATCAAGTTGTACAGCGAATCCCTGGCCCGGTATGGCAAGAGCCCATATCTATACCCACTCTACGGCCTGGGCGAGCTGCCCCAGGGCTTTGCAAGGTGAAGACACAGGTCTCTTCAGATGGCATCACTGGGTGGAACTGAGGCTGAGGGTGGATATGGCCCCTGTAGCCTTTCTGTGTGTTGCAGGCTGTCTTGGGTGATGGGGGTCACAGCCCTAGGATGCTGAAGCACAGGCTCAGGAACGTAGCCTGCTCATCTGGCAGCACGGGGCTGGGCCTGGGCCTGGGCCTGAGACCTCAAGCAGTGCTTAGCTGGGAGTTAGCCCTTCTGTACAGTCTTGCACGCAGGCTTCCTGGGTCGTTTCCTTGTGGAGATGTACCCTCATTACCACCCTTGCGCCCACCCTTTGTAGACTTGTCTTGGGGAGCACTGGGGAGGAAGGAGAGCACTCAGATGGGTTCCTACTTGGTGCTAGGACAGCTGGGATGAACCACAGGCCTCCCAACTTTGCCCACCTAGACCTCAGTGGTACAGCAGGGTGGGTTTGGTGGAATTGGCCTCTGTTCATTCTCCGGGACGAGGCCATGACTCTCCCTGTCCCCACTGTAGACTGAGTGCCATCTATGGAGGAACATACATGCTCAACAAGCCTGTGGATGACATCATCATGGAGAATGGCAAGGTGGTGGGCGTGAAGTCTGAGGGAGAGGTGAGCCTTCCTCTCAGTGGGTCACCTCCTCAGGGCTCTTTGTCCTTGGGCCATGTGCTGTGTCTGTGGTCCAGAAAGTCTACCTGACCTGCCAGGTGTGGTGGCACACGCCTGTCTTCCCAGCTCTTGGGGAGGTTGAGGCAGGAGGATCACTGTAAGTTTAAGGCCAGCCTGGGCTACATGGTGAGACTATGTTTAAAAAACAAAATCTACCTGACCATGGTGTTCCAGCAGCGGTACCACCCAGTTCTGTATGCCAGCCTCATCACCCTGAGCTGAAGGGAGGATCAGCAGTGACAAAGGAGCATCCTGCCTGTCATGGGCTGCCTGCCACCACTGGGGGCCCAGCTGATGACCACTGGGGTAAGGAGTGACTCAGCAGGAGCAAGGACTTGTGATGCCTTCACAGGTGGCCCGCTGCAAGCAGCTGATCTGTGATCCCAGCTACATCCCAGACCGTGTGCGGAAGGCTGGCCAAGTCATCCGCATCATCTGCATCCTCAGTCATCCCATCAAGAACACCAACGATGCCAACTCCTGCCAAATCATCATCCCTCAGAACCAGGTCAACAGGAAGTCAGGTAGGGAGGCTGCAGCCTACTGCCTCCTGTGTGATCCCACTGTAGAACAAAGGGGATGCTCCTATGGCCCTAGAGAATGGATGGATGGCTTGGGCTCTCCCTTGCCATGAGGATGACAGCTTGGATGCTGTTAGTCATCTCTGTGGCTGGGACCCAATCCCAGGTTCCCACAGTACAAGGAGGACAGGTTTCATTTGGCCCCCTGAGGAGTCAGCCCATGGCCAGCTGCTCCAAGGCGGGAAGAGCATGGTGGAAGGACCAGGGAGAGCTGTGCACCTCATGGTGGGGAAGCTAAGGGAAGGGAAAGAGGCCAAAGGGAGGGGACTGGATCCTGAGGAGGCACCTGCCTCATCCTTCAAGACCCTGCCTCCCAGGGAGCCCATTGGACTGTGCTCTCAGCCTTGGACCAATCCGCTGGCGAAAACAGCCCTCATGACCCCCGCTTTTCCCCCAGGCCCCACTTCTGGATGTCGCTGTAGTGGGAGCCACTGGGCTGTATTACCTGGGTTCCTAGGTGCCGCTGCACAGTGAAGGCACATGTTTGGGGCTGGGAGGGGCGTCCCCCTGGCCTACGTTAACAGAGCACTTCCTGTGAGCAGACATCTATGTGTGCATGATCTCCTATGCGCACAATGTGGCTGCACAAGGCAAGTACGTTGCCATCGCCAGCACCACAGTGGAGACCACAGATCCGGAGAAGGAGGTTGAACCTGCTCTTGAGCTGCTGGAGCCCATTGACCAGAAGTGAGGGATTGGGCTGCACCTGGGGTTGTGGGTGGGAGCAGGAGCTGGAGGCTGTGGGGGTGGGGATCCGACACAAGCGCCTCCATCTGTCTGTAGGTTCGTGGCTATCAGCGACTTGTATGAGCCCATTGATGATGGTTCTGAAAGCCAGGTAAGCAGCCTCCCAGCCCTGGCCCCCGCTGACCCCCAGGCCCTTCGTCAGTCACCCTGCCCTTGGGCTTGTTCTTTGCAGGTGTTCTGCTCCTGCTCCTATGATGCCACCACACACTTTGAGACAACCTGCAATGACATCAAAGACATCTACAAACGCATGGCTGGCTCGGCCTTTGACTTTGAGAACATGAAGCGCAAACAGAACGACGTCTTTGGAGAAGCTGACCAGTGATTGCTGGCCCTTCCCCCAGCCCCTGCTGCCCCTACTCCTGGGTCTGTTCTCCTCCAGGGCTGGGGAGACATATGGCTGGGCACCCCTGCGCTCAGCATCCTCTGCTTTCCCCTGTCACATCCCTGTCACCCACCTCATTGATTCACTGACCAAATCCTTAACCCTAGTGATGGTTTGGGAGATGGGGGTTGGATAGTGTTCTTCTCAGCCCTTCCTTGTCCTAGGAAAAGAGGATCCGTCTCCCTGTGTGTCTCCCCACCCGTAATTCTGTGTTCGGGAAGGACGGAGGCGAACTGACTTCTGCCCCCCTTACCCCACTGTAGTGGCCTTTGGAGATGACCCCTGCCTCCTCCCCCCAGCTCTCCTGCGTGTTGGAGAGAAGGGGCCCTCCCAGCACAAATTGCATTCCTCCCCCATAATTTATTCTAATTTATTAACCATTCCACCCCAAATCAGAGCCCCCAGCCTTCTTGTGCCACTAAGCCCCGGAGTGAAGAAGGCATAGGCGTGGCCTATTGGAGGTTGATCTCACTGTTTTAATTCCTTGTCTTTTGTGTTTGTGTTTCTGGTACTTGCTGAGAAAGATGTGCTCAAAGCAGAAGGTGGGAAATGGACCCAAGCCCAGTGTGCCCCACCCCATGCCTTCCCTTTAGTGGTGGAAAACTCTTCCTTTGCAAAGTGAATGTGTCCCTCTCCCCAATCTCTAGTATATTTCACAGAAAACAAAACCTCCCAATAAACTGTTGAAACCTGAGTTTGGATCTTTAGGTTCCTTTCCCTAAAGCTAAGAGCTTGGCAGGGCCTTGGCCCTCCGGTTTGGGGCTCTGGCTTAGCGTCTGGCACTGCACCTGTATTCTGGATCCAACGCAGGGAAGTGGGTAGGCCAGGAAAGGAGGTAGAGGGTAGGGGTGCCTGGGGAGGCCGGGGACCCACTTCAACTTGATTGACACTGAGGCGCAGGGGGGAAGCCCAGCCTTGAGTCCCCAGGACGTAGCAGGCGGGACTGGAGGCCCAGTTGCGGGACGGGGTTAAGGTCGAGGTAACGCAGGAGGCCGGGAATCCAGACTAGGAAGCGGCCGCGGGCAGGCCAGCCCCAAGTCAGAGTCAGCCTGGGACCAGGCATCCGGCAGTGGGCGGGGTGGAGTTTACGTCACGCGCCGAAAAGGCTGGGAGCTGGTCACGTGGTGGGAAGGGGCGGGGCGCGAGCGGACGTCAGGTGTCAGCTGACTGCGCGGCCACCGCC